CATCTATGGCAGGCATCCTCTGAGGATGCTTGCCATAGATGCAGGCAAAATGTCAATACAGAATGCTTCTGGAACATGGCCATACAGCCCGAAAAACCTACAACAACCCAGTGATTCCAGCCATGAAAGCCTCAACAATACTTTTCAATCTTGTTTAATGTTTTGCTGATTTAGGGTCAGTTTTATTATTGTGTGTGGTTTTGTTTTGTTCTGTAAGTTTGGTTTGTTACTTCTTTCAATTCAACAAAGTCACTTTTTAATATATATCTATATAAATAAAAATGTAATGTTAGTTTGTGGGATTAACATAACTCAAAAACCACTGGACAGATTGACACTAAATTTGGACACAATACATCTGTCCAAGTGACCATCACTCATAAAACACTGAAAAACACAGCTTGTTGTTCATTCGTTCAGTCGTCTCCGACTCTTCATGACCTCATGGACCAGCCCAAGCCAGAGCTCCCTGTCGGCCATCACCACCCCCAGCTCCTTCAAGGTCAGTCCAGTCACTTCAAGGATGCCATCCATCCATCTTGCCCTTGGTCGGCCCCTCTTCCTTTTACCTTCCACTTTCCCCAGCATAATTGTCTTCTCTAGGCTTTGCTGTCTCCTCATGATGTGGCCAAAGTACTTCAACTTTGTCTCTAGTATCCTTCCCTCCAATGAGAAGCCGGGCTTTATTTCCTGGAGGATGGACTGGTTGGATCTTCTCGCAGTCCAAGGCACTCTCAGAACTTTCCTCCAACACCACAGTTCAAAAGCATCTATCTTCCTTCGCTCAGCCTTCCCTAAGGTCCAGCTCTCACATCCATAGGTTACTACAGGGAATACCATGGCTTTGACTAGGTGGATCTTTGTTGCCAGTCTGATGTCTCTACTTTTTACTATTTTATCGAGACTGGACATGAAGTAAGCAGAAGAGATTTAAAAAGCCAAAAAACAAAAAATGCATTACAACGCATGCACAAAACCACAATGTGCACAATTGCACAACTGCAATGTGCAATTTATTTCGTGTCAAAAGCATTGGATAATAAATAAGTTTGAAATTGATAAAATAAAGGGATCACAAGCAGCTAAATAGTTTCAGACCAAAAACGGACAACAGCGACTATATTGTCTGTGGCTTTTTGGTCGTGTCAGGAGCGACCTGAGAAACTGCAAGTCGTTTCTAGTGTGAGAAAATTGGCTGTCTCCAAGGACGTTGCCCAGGGGACGCCCGGATAATTTGATGTTTTATCATCCTTGTGGGAGGCTTCTCTCATGTCCCCGTATGAGGAGCTGGAGCTGATAGAGGAAGCTCATCCGCCTCTCCCTGGATTCGAACCTGCGACCTGTCGGTCTTTAGTCCTGCCGGGTTTAACCCACTGCGCCACTGGGGGCTCCGTCTGTGGCTTTAATAAGTTCTTCCTCTGTGCATGAGGCAGGACATGGTGAGCAAGCATACAGATGCAGGGTTGTTTGTTCTGCTCCAAGTTGCATAAGGTGGAGGATTCTTCTAGGTAGTGCCATTTATCCAGGTTGTCTTTTGATCTGCCCACTCCACTTCTGAGTCTGTTCAGAGACTTCCAAGTTGACCATTCTTGAGAATTTTCCAAGCTGTGTGGCTAAGTTCCAGAAGCATTCTGTCCTGATATTTCGCTTGTAAATGTCAGGCATCCTCAGAGGTTGTGAGGTCTGTTGGAAACACACCTCACAACCTCTGAGGATGCCTGCCATAAATGCAAGCGAAATGTCAAGAGAGAATGCTTCTGGAACATGGCCACACAGCCCAGAAAACTCACAACAACCCATGAAAGCCTTCGACAATAATTTGACCATTCTTGGTTTGTCCTGGAGGAAGACCCTTCGTGTGGGGCCATTCAGTTGGGATTTCCAGGTTTAGCTGTTGCTGTAGGAACATTAAGAGGAGTGGTGGTTCTCATGAAACTTCTCCTTGATTTAAATCTACTGGGAGGAGGCTGATAGCCATGCAGTGGGTGGCTTTCACAATGTCAATCTTATTTCTCTTGCTATTGCCAGCAACTTCCCATCGCACATCGAGGGTTGGGGGGCAATGCCAGCTCGCTTATAGAGTCTATCAACAGGTGTAGGTTTGAGACACCCTGTGATTATTTTACATGTCTCATTCAGTGCTATAGTCACCTGCGTTGCTTGGACAAGACTCGTGCCAAACAAGGCAGGTATACTCGGCAGTTGAGTAAGACAAGGCCAGGGCTGATTCTCTTATCAATGTTGGGTCTGCACCCCATGTGCTATTAGTGAGTTTCTGCAGGATGTTATTGCGTTCAGCTACACTGTGCTTAGTGTTTGCCCAGTATTTCCTAAATGTTAGTGTTCGATCCAAGGTGACCCCGAGATATTTAGGGTGGGCACAGTGTTCAAGCTCTTGGCCTTCTCAGGTAATCTTCAGTTTTCTGTTGACTTCATGATCATGTAAATGGAAAGCACACACTTGTGTCTTGGCAGGGTTAGTTGTCAGGTGATTGTCTTTGAAGTAGCTGGAGAGATCTTTCAGGGCATTCGCAAGTTGGTTTCATAGTCTTCTGCTTGTATAAAGTCTACCATATCACCCGGGACTACAATTTTACAAAACTATCTAGACCCTCCTAGAAACTCCAACAAAGGATTGTTACCTTGTCGCTGTGCTGGAGCTTGAGCACCTCAGTGATGCCATGAGCAAAACTGTGAAGGGACACCCAAGACAGGAAGGTCATGGCAGACAGGTCAGACCAAATACAATATCTGGGGAAGGTAATGGCAACTCACACCAGCATTCTTGCCATGAAAACTAAATGGATCAGTACAACCTAGAGAACTGCAAGGCAGGAAAAGTAGATAGAGAAGGCAAAAAAAAATGGTCTACCTCAAGGCAGCACTCTTGCATCAACCTTGTTTACCATCTTTACTAATGATCAGCCACAATCACCACTCATAAAGATGACCTTGGCCTAACAACACAAGCAATGTACAATGACAAAATAAATATAGAGAGAGGTAATTATTAGGTGGGGAGCCCCTGGTGGCGCAGTGGGTTAAACCGCTGAGCTGCTGAACTTGTTGACCAAAAGGTCGCAGGTTCGAATCCAGGGGAGCAGCATGAGCTCCTTCTGTCAGCCCCAGCTTCTGCCAACCTAGGAGTTCAAAAACATGCAAATGTTAGTAGATCAATAGGTACCGTTCCGGTGGGAAGATAACGGCACTTCATGCAGTCATGTCGGCCACATGACCTTGGAGGTGTTTACAGACAATGATGGCTCTTCGGTTTAGAAATGGAGATGGGCACCAACCCCCAGAGTTGGACACGACTGGACTTAATGTCAGGTGAAAACCTTTACCTTTACTAATTAATAGGTGAAATAGTCCCATGCGACAACATACAGCCATTTGTCTTGGGAAGTGTCCGACGTGTGATCAAGTATAAAGGCCACCATAGTGATATTGTTTGCTTTGTATTAATCTTGTTATGTATATAATAATAATAATAATAATAATAATAATAATAATAAGAAGAAGAAGAAGAAGAAGAAGAAGAAGAAGAAGAAGAAGCAGTACAAGAAAACTGTACTACAAACCAGAGCTGACAGCTAGCACAACAAAGCATTGCATGGGCAGTTCCTTGACAAAATTGAAGGAAAACTTGACAGGGAGAAGACCTGGTTATGGTTCACGAATGACACACTGAAGAAGGAGACAGAAGAAGGCCTGATTCTTGCAGCCAAGGAGCAAGCCATCAGAACCAATGAAATTAAGGCCAGGATTGAAAAATCAGCAGATGACCCAAAATGCAGACTGTGCAAGGAAGCTGATGAAACCATGGATCACATCCTCAGCTGTTGCAAGAAGATCGCACAGACGGACTACAAAGAAAGGCACAACTCTGTGGCCCAAATCATTCACTGGAACTTCTGTCACAAGTACCACCTGCCAGCAGTAAAGAACAGGTGGGATCATAAACCTTCAAAGGTAGTGGAAAATGAACATGCAAAAATACTGTGGGACTTTCGAATCCAGACTGACAAAGTTTTGGAACACAATGCAACAGACATCACGATTGTGGAAAAGAAAGAAGTTTGGATTATTGATGTCCCCATTCTAGGTGACAGTCGAATTGAGGAAAAACAACAGGAAAAACTCAGCCATTATCAGGAGGCTCTGCAAAGGCTCTGGCATAAATCAGTACAGGTGATCACAGTGGTCACTGGCGCACTGGGTGCCATGCCAAAAGATCTTAGCCGGCATTGGAAACAATAAACATTGACAAAATCACGATCTGTCAACTGCAAAAGGCCACCTTACTTGGATCTGCGCACATCATTCGAAAATACATCACACAGTCTTAGACGCTTGGGAAGTGTTCAACTTGTGATTTTGTGATACAAAGTCCAGCATATAGATCTCGTTTGCTGTGACATACTGTGTTTTTGTGTCAGTAAATTATTATTATTATTATTATTATTATTATTATTATTATTATTATTATTTATTGCCTGCCTCTCCTTATGGCTTATGCAATTGGATCAATCTAGTGCAGTACTGAGAGAAAAGGGATGATGATCATGATAATTATAATAATGATAATTATTATATTATTACCTGTCTCTCTTTGTGCCTCAAGGCGGGTCACAACATGGTTAAAACACGATTAAAATTCATATAAGAAATACACACAGGTAAAATGCAGTTTAAAATTCACTGATGAAATGCAGGTTATTTGCATATATTGAGTGAGGATTGGGGATACAGAAAAGGCATATATTTTTTTGGGAAAACGCCAGCCTCTGAAGCTCAGGAATGAATAAGCTTTTCCCAAAAACTTTCCCAAAAACCTTTCTATGGGACCTGCCCATGTAGTCTCAAGACAGTGATCTGTACTTGACTTCCTAGTCTAGTTGCTATGCGAAATTGAAATTTCCCCCAAAGTCTTCAATGGGATTAGGTTTGGAAGTCAGTCTCCTCTCTTTCTTTAATACTTTCTCCTATTTTTTTTTTAGGTTTGGCATCAGTAAGGATGTGAAAGATGGCCGACCGTCCTCTCACAGTTTGTAGCCTTTTGACGGCAAAGCCTTCTCTGGATCGGCAACGGAGTGAACCTCTTCTTCCCCAAACATTTGCTGGCCCCATAGATGGGTCTAGGAAGGACGAAGAGTGGGACAGCATCCATGGAAATGAGCTGATCTTTGCCTTGGATGAAGAAGAGGATGTTGTCCTGGAATCCCCAGGCAACCTCCCTCCGGGTGAAGAGGAGATCAGGAAAGATGAAAATCAGCTGGCGGAGCCCTCAATGCATGCGGCATCCCTTCTTCCTTCGCCAAAGCCAGTTCCGCAAGGCCCCAAGCCCTTGATCAATTTGGTCAAGTCGATCTCCACTGAGATTGAGGCCCGGGAGGGCTCCCCAGCCCCCAAACCCCAGCCGCTCTTGAGTCTGGTTAAGTCCATCTCCACTGAGATCTCGCGCCTGGAGCCCGAGGTGACCCCGTCCAAGTCCGACTCCAAGCTCAATGTCCACCGCTGGCGGCAGATCACCCACCCAAAGGGCAAGAACGGCGACTCACGGACTGCTCCGTCCTCCCCAAACGTCTCCCCGTCGGAGAGCAGAGGCAGCTTCTTCAAAGCCCAGGAGGCCAAGTTTGAGGACACCAAGAGGCGCTTCTCGGAGGCCATGCAGGAACCGCTTAGCCGGCTCAGCAAGATCATCGGCGAGGAGAACGTTTCCCCGAAACACAAAGCATTGCTCAATAACAGCCAAGACTCTGCTTCCAGCCATGGGAAGGAATCCACTGTCTTGGAGTCCTCCAGCCCGGAGATGGACCACCATGGTGCCACGGCAAAAGGACAAATGGAGGGCTTTGGCCTTGCAGAACCAAAGTGGAACCCTTCCTCGAACTGCCGGTATGAGATCTGCTCCTATGGGGACCTGATCCAGGTGGTAGAGGTGGGCGCAGGCGCCGAAGAGGTGCGGACCGTGCGGCCCCTGGATGCTGTTCTCCACCCCACTGAGTCCTGCAGTTCTGTGCCCAGCAAAGCCCTCGCCTGTGTTGCCCTCCTTGCCTACAACTACTTCGTCCTGCCGTTGCCCCCTTACGTCTCCGGCCTCTGCCTCGGTTTGGCCTCCGGCTTCCTCCTGGGTTTCCTGGTCATCCTGCTGCTGGTGCCAAAGCGGACCCGTTCGCCGCGAAAAACAAGAGCCCTCCAGGATGTCTCGCTGCTGGACGACTCGGTGCGGAGGCAGCCGGGGGACAGCAACGTACTCAAGGTTAGGGAGGTATTGGTCAGACTTCCCAGGCGGGAGCCAGTGTATTCGTGGGAATCCAGAAATGTGCCGGATTCCTTTGATTCTAAGGCACCGTTGATTGCACACTAATTTCAATATCACCATCAGGGGAAAAAACCCATATGCCACTCATATACCACCACCACTATCATAGGCGATCCCTTGTGTCCAAGTATGATTACCTTTCAATCTTGGGTCTTGGTGGTGGGCCCGTAGGTGATAGTAGAGACCATATACTACCACTAGGGCGAGAGAGAAAATATCCAGGCAGTCCCCAAGTTACAAACATCCAACTTACAAACAACTCAATAGTTAAGTACAGAGGTGAGATGACAGGAAGTGAGATAAATCCATCCCTCAGAAGAGAAATCCACTCCTGGAAGAATCATTATCACGGGGGAAAAGTGTCTTCATTAAAGCTTTATCTCCAATCCTTGTTTCCACAACAAGCCAAATTTTCCAAAATTCATTCTTCACAGGGACAAAAAGTGAGGTGGAATCTTCTGAACAGGGGCACAGACTGCAAAGGAAACACCACATGGGTGTTTACCCTTTCCTATGCTCTCCAAAGCTAAAAAGTATATATTTTTGGATGGAGGTACACTTAAAAAATGTACCTGTTGTGACTTATATACAAATTCAACTTAAAGACAAACCTACAGAACCTATCTTATTTGTACTGTAAGTTGAGTACAGTTTCTCAAGTTGCTCTTGACATGGAAAAATATTGTTTGTAACTTGGGGACTGTCTGTATATCTATATATCTATATAATCTATATCTATGTGCAAGCACAATTCTAAGGCACATGCCATTTTTAGTGATGTTTATATGGGGAAAAATGTTTGTAGTAGCATCAAAGAAATACAGTATCTCCCATGGATCCAGGGTTTTGCACTGTACACTTTTTAGACCCATCCAAAGTATGTTTGTGTCCATGAATTGTGGTTGTGAGAGCAAACCCAGAGCCTTTTCAATAATATTTTGCTAGGAGCAAACTACAATACTCATTATTCCATAGCATTGAGCCATGTTAGTTAAAGTGATGTCAACAACAACAACAATTCTTTATTGATTAGTCAATTTTGACCATATCAAAACATGCAAAACATACAAAACACACTTGCCTATGCATACAGTAAAACCATATATGAATACAAGGCATCCTGGCCTACTGGCCTGTCGACCCACTCCTAAATGATTGTGCAACTACAAGATAAAAAGATTAAAAGATTAAAAATTGATTAATTCCTTAAAGTAGAGTTTGGGCGGGGGCGTGGGTAGGTAAAACTAGTGGCATATCCATATTAAGTTTTTAAGTTTGAATTTTGTTGATGGCAGCAAGGTCACCTCTCTCTGCTTCCATCTTCTCGCGGATGGCCAGAGCTTTTTGCATAAAAAGGGTCAATTTTAAAATAGAGTCTTTAGCTGAACCCTGTAGGAGGATGTGCAATTTCTCCTTATTCTCTAAATAAGTATGATTCTCCAGCAGAGGCTCAGTCTAGATAGTAACACCGGATCCTGTTGTAGTAGGGACATTTTAAGAAAAAATGTTCTGAGTCCTCCACTTCTGCATCTACCTCACGACACCCACAGGTTCTCCTCGTGTAGGGAATATTCTGATGTCGTCCCAACTTGCACTTAATGTCGAGCTGCTCAAATCTAGCCCAGGTAAAATGTTTTCCAATATAAAAGAGAGGTAAGGTTTCATGCCCACGTTACATTTAAATTTGGTATGGAGTGGTTCTAGCTTGCGCTACGATCATTAGATCATTAGATCATTTTGTGCAGCAATGTCGAGAGCTCTTTGCAAGTGATGTCAAACTTCATTCACACTGCTATGTAGATGCACCCTGATTGAGAGGAAGCAGTTGGTAGCATATGTTTCCATAGTTTTAAATCCATTTCCTTAGATGTGTTTTACCAGCTTCTGCAAGAGGTCTCAAATACTAGGCTAGAAAAAAAGATGAGAGGAGGAATTATATGTGTGTGTGTGTATTTATTATTATTATTATTTGAAAAATAATAAGATTAGTACACAGCAAACAAGGTCACTATGCTAGCTGTTGTAATGGATCACGTGTCAGACACTTCCCAAGTGTCTAGGACTGTGTGATGTATTAGCATATAATGCTTGCAGATCCCAGTAGGGTGGCCTTTTGCAGCTGACAGATGGTAATTTTATCAGTGCCGATTGTGTTTAAGTGCAGGCCAAGGTCTTTAGGCACTGCACCCAGTGTGCTGATCACTGGGACCGCCTTGACTGGCTTGGTGTCGTTCTTGTTGTTGGCTTGAGTGTTAACTATGACCATGGAGACCAAGGTTTAACTCCCTTTTCATCCATAGCAAGCCTAGCAAAATCTTTGGCCTGCAACAAGTTGGAAGCAACTTAAAGGGACACAACAACAACTTAAGTACAAATACCTTTCACCCTTCTGCTCCAGAATAGTTTTTCGAAGCAGATTTATCCGATTGCAATGAATGGATGTGGTGCATATGCTGAAATGGATTCTAGAATAATAAATGCTTGGTTTCATACCACAAAAGGTGTTTCCTTCCAGGGCTGGATGAACCAAATGTACTTCTACGATCCGGAGATCTACCACCCATCTCTGACCCACTCCGTGTTCGTCACTTTGGAGGACTCCAGCATGACACTCTCTTACCCCAAGAACAACATCCCTCGACGGGCCACTTTTGAGGAGGAAATCTTTGAGACAACGTTTGTGAATCACCGGCAGTATGAGATGACCGGTGCCCAGGTCAGAAACTGACCCATACCTTGACCGTTCTATCATAATGGCTGGGGAGGAGAGACGATTGGCTGCATGCCCTCCAACTATCCCAGATTGGCCCCATTGCTCTTCCAACATCCCATTTTCCAATGGCTTTTATGTAAGTCCCAGTTTCTCTCCCTTTCTTCCACTTTTCCTCTTTCCCCCTCCACGGACTTTGCTTGCTGCAGACTGAGACCAAAGGGATGGATGCTGCAGCCTGGCCACATCTTTTGGGCCCTTCCCTTAGGTAACCCTGGAGAGAGAAACCAGGTCACCTGAAGTCACCTGAGGATAAAAGGGGGGGGGGGAGAGAGAGTGGAAGTATTTGTGTAATGTTTTAATGTTTGCATCTTTGACTTTAATGTTTGCATATTTGCAGATTTTAAATTGTATGCTAATGCTTTTATATCAAGCCGCTTTGAGTCTCCTTCGGGAGAAATAAAGTGGTGTGTAAATAAATAAATAAAAGGGGAAAGTGGGAGGAAAGAGAGAGAAACCAGGTTCATTTGAGATCACCCGAGGACAAAAAGGGAAACTGGAAGTGGTTTTTAAAAATATTTTCACATTTGTTTTTAATGTTTGCATATCTGTATATTTTAAATTGTAGGCTAATTTATTTTATTTATTGTTTTTGATTTGTTTGTTTGTTTGTTTGTTTTGGCACTGAATGTTTGCCACCTTTGTTGGAAACTGCCCTGAGTCCCCTTGGGGAGATAGGGCGGGTTACAAATAAAGTTATTTTTACTTTTTATTAATGCTTTTATATCAAGCCACTTTGAGTCTCCTTCGGGAGAAATAAAGTGGGGTATGAAGAAATATAATGCATTGTCGAAGGCTTTCATGGCTGGAATCACTGGGTTGTTGTGAGTTTTCCAGGGTGTATGGACATGTTCCAGAAGCATTCTCTCCTGACATTTCGCCTGCATCTATGACAGGCATCCTCAGAGGCTGAGAAGTCTATTGGAAACTAGGGAAATGGGGTTTATATATCTGTGGAATGTCCAGGGTGGGAGAAAGAACTCTTGTCTGCCTGAGACAAGTGTGAACAAGCATGTAGACAATTTCAACAGAAAGGAAGAAAATATGAAAATGAAAAAAATCTGGCTGCTAGTATTAATAAGCTCTAAAATTGTAACAGTAAATAAGGAACAACACTCAAAAACAAGGGAATTCCACACAGGAAACAATCAGGGCCAGATAATCACCTCCCAACAAAGGATTCCCCCAGGCAATAAGAAGCCAGACCTTGAAACTGCTAGGCCATTAAATAGTAATCAAGATGGCCAATTGAAACACTCACACCTACCTCAAACAGACAAGAATTCTTTCTCCCACCCTGGACATTCCATAGATATATAAATCTCATTTTCCTTGTTTCCAACAGACCTCACAACCTCTGAGGATGCCTGCCATAGATGCAGGCAAAACGTTAGAATCATAGAATCATGGAGTTGGTAGAGACCTCATGGGCCATCCAATCCAACCCCCTGCCAAGAAGCAGGAATATTGCATTCAAAGCACCCCTGAGAGATGGCCATCTAGCCTCTGTTTAAAAGCTTCCAAAGATGGAGCCTCCACCACACTCCGAGGCAGAGAGTTCCACTGCTGAACGGCTCTCACAGTCAGGAAGTTCTTCCTCATGTTCAGATGGAATCTCCTTTCTTGTAGTTTGAAGCCATTGTTCCGTGTCCTAGTCTCCAGGGAAGCAGAAAACAAGCTTGCTCCCTCCTCCCTGTGACTTCCTCTCACATATTTATACATGGCTATCATATCTCCTCTCAGCCTTCTCTTCTTCAGGCTAAACTTTCCCAGCTCGTTAGGAGAGAATGCTTCTGGAACAAGGCCATACAGCCCAGAAAACTCACAGTAACCCAAGGGAAATAAAATAAAATAAAAATAATACAAACTAGGGTCACCTGAGGACAAAAGGGGAAAGTGGAAGGAAAGAGGGAGAGACAGGGATCCTTTAAAATCTGTTGGAAAGTGGGAAGGCAAATTGGTCATCCGGACTGGGGTGACCCTTCCCTATCCCGCTATCCCCCTTTCTTTGCTCTCATGTCTTGCCCCTTAATATTCTAGGTCTTCCTTTCCCCACCCGCTTTGGCCCGGAAGAGGATGTGGAACAAGAAATACCCCATCTGCGTTCTCTTCCCAGACCCGAGCGACATGGAAGCGGATCCTGTGAGAGAGAAGGGTGCCAGGAAGAGGCCAGTTTTGGGCCAGGAGGCCCCGGCCAAGCCTGTGCCCGAAGCCCCGGAAAGGACCCTCTACCTCTTTGGTCGAACGGGGCGAAGCAAGGAGGAGTGGTTCCAGCATTTTGCCAGGGCTTCCCGGCTGGAGGGCAGCGAGGCGCTCCATGCCAACCTCAGTGAACCCCAGTCAGGTAAAAAAAGGACCCATGGAACTCAACTTGGGATGCATCTACATTGCAGACTTAGCGCAGTTTGGCACTGCTTCAACCTCCACAAGCTATAGAATCTTTGAAGTTAGTAGTATGTTTTATTGATTAGCCCATTGGCCATATCAAAACACTTGGCAAACACATTTAACACATACACATACAACCCACAGTACAACAAAAGTAAAAATAAACAAGCTGTTAACAAGGGATCAAGCTTTCGATCTAGATCAAATATCTGCATCACCCCAATCAACTGCAAATATGCAGTTCTCAACTGAGTTGCTTTATAAAGAAAAGGGGCCATTTTGTATGTTATTTTGGTATTCTGGCTGGCCAATAAAAATATAGTTTTACTATAAGGATCCTAGTATGTCTTTTATAATGTATGGTCCGAGGTATTGGTTTCTCTCTTATGCAAGTTACAACTAAACAGGACACGTGTGATATCTTCTACCTCTGCCACTTCACTGACACTCCACAGTTCATTATATGGAACTTGGTTAAACCTTCCATGTTTGACCATTGATAGCTTTACAGTTTCAAGGCTTGGCTGCTTTCTGCCTGGGGAAATCCTTTGTTGGGAGGTGTTTACCTGACCCTGATTGTTTCTTGAGTGGAATTTTCCTGTTTTTGAGTGTTGTTCTTTCTTTACTGTTCTGATTTTAAAGCAGCCAGCCAGGCTTTGAAGCTGCAAGGGCATTCAATGCTAATCAAGGTGGCTAACTGCAACATTCACATTTGCCTCCAATAGACAAGAGTTCTTTCTCCCACCCTGGACATTATTCCACAGATATATAAACCCCACTTGCCTAGTTTCCAACAGACCTCACAACCTCTGAGGATGCCTGCCATAGATGTGGGTGTAACTTCAGGAGAGAATGCTTCTGGAACATGGCCATACAACCTAATAATAATAATAATAATAATAATAATAATAGTAATTATTATTATTATTATTATTATTATTATTTATTATCATCGTTGTCATCATCATTAATAATATATGTATTTGTACCCCACTTTTCTTTGCGTACCCAATACCCAAAGCAGCTCACAACCTTAAAAAAACTATCCAATTAAAAAACCTACAGAATATAAATATTAACAGAGAATGAAACATTGCCATTTTGAAAGCTGTTCGGTCGTAAACTACCACTGATGTTCGCCATACACTGCTAACAGTTATTGCCTGGGGGATTCTGGGAGGTGCAGTCCTAAACAGGACGTTGTTCTTCTCCATCCGGGTGGGCCAAATGAGCCTCCTCCTTAACCTCGCCTCTTCCTCTTGCCCAGGTGTGAGCCCCTCCGGGAAAGCCCCCCACAGTGAGAGCAGTGGCAGCAGCAGCAGCCGGGGCAGCACAGAGGACCTCCCGGCGGCCCTCAAACCCAAGGAGTTAGCGGTCAGCCTCCGGGAGAAGCTCCTTTTGGACTATGGCGCATACATGTCGCGGGTGGTGCCTCCGGCAAGTGAGGCCAGCCCGACCCAGAGCCCCTGCCCCAGCGCTGCCAGCAGCCCAGACCCCAAAAGGGTGAGGACAGAGGGTGATGTGACACTTGGGACATCTATATCGCTATCAGCTTGGTTTTCAGCCCAAGGGTCCTCAAACATTCCTCTCTAGTATTAGCTATATTGCCCTGGGCCACCACCTTCTTGCTCCTTAACTCTCCTTTCCTTTCTTCTCCTCTCTCTATTTCCCCCCAAAACAACAACAACAACAAGAAACTATAGTCCCACCCCTCCCAACAGTCGGAGGAACCCTGAACTCGCCGCCTGCTTAAAAGTCTGAGGACCCCTGATTGAATGCATTGGAGAGCCCTCCAGTAATGTTCTAGGCCAATCATTTCCAACTCATTTCCATGGTGGGTCACCTCCACCATATTAGGGTTGCCTTCAAAGGGCTGTTGAATCCAAAGACAGAAAGTGTGTAGAGACAGAGGGAAAGCTGTGGTTTTGTTTACATAGCACTCTTTAGTCTATCCTTGTTGGATCCCCTGATGTTACTGAATGACAACTCCCACCCCTTTTGATTAGCTGTGGACAATGCGGATTGCAAACCCAACAGCATTTATAGTTCCAAGGTTGGGAAAAGATCAAAAATTATATTAAAGTCAGGCATTATGTCCTAAGGAAGAGGGAGCAAGCCTTGTTTTTTGGTGCCCTGGAGACTAGTCCTGCCCGAAATACGGGACGTGAAGAGCAAGAAAACAGGACATGGGACGTTTGCTTGAAATAAGGGACTGTCCCTTTAAATACAGGACACCTGGCAATACTGATCGCAAGCCAAACCGTTCCAGGCATTCTTGCACCATGACTCCCAAAATATAGGAGATGCAGTCAGGCATCTGGAGGAGGGCTGCACAAAAGGACATGGTGGGCCATAATCGGCCCGTGGGACGTGGGTTTGATGCAAGTGTCTTAGGCCCTCCAGGCAACTGTATGAAATGTTTCCATCAAAGCTTACCATAGCTTTGAAGCCTGGCTTATGGGATTTCGGAACGATGCTCAAACCACCATTGCAAACTCCTTTTTGTCCTTTTTAGATTCAGGGGGAGGCGAATCTGACGGGCGGACCTCCCACGGCATGGGTCAATGCGGTGCTCGGCCGGATCTTTTGGGACTTCCTCAGGGAGAAATACTGGGCCGACCAGGTCTCAAACAAGATCCAGAAGAAACTGGGCAGAATTAAGGTGAGGAATCATTCCCAGCATCACTCCCTCTTCTCGCCCCTTTGTCTTGTATTGTTGATGGAGATGCCCCCAAATAAACATAAAAGCATCATAATCACCACCATTTTCATTATTGCTGTTGTTGTCACCCTGTGTTTCTCTTTTGATCGTGATCCAAAGATAAACATCAAAATGATTTTTTTAAAGGGTTTTGATGTTTTAGTTGTGATTTCTTTTTTTAAAAAAATCATAATATTTCTACTTTGATGGACTCTTGTTTTGTTTTTAATGTGTGTTCTTTGAAGATGCTGTTATCACCTGTTGGGGGAAAGTGGGATAGAAAATGATAACAATGCTAATAATGCTAATTATTATTTATTATTAATAATAATTTATTATTATTATTGTTATTATTATTATTATTAATTTATTGAAAACAATAAACACTGACAAAATAATGATTTGTCAACTGCAAAAGGCCACCTTTCTCGGATCTGTGTGCATCATTCGAAAATACATCACACAGTCCTAAATGCTTGGGAAGTGTTTGACTTGTGATTTTGTTACACAAAATCTAGTGTATATATATCTCATTGGCTGTGACATACTGTGTTTTTGTGTCAGTAAAATAATACAATGTTTCCAGCAAATGCTAACAATGCTAGCAATAATAATGTTTCCAGCAAAATAATGCTAACAATGCTAATGCTCATAATAATGCTAATAGTAATAATGTTTCCAGTAAAATAAATTCAGCAATTCTAATGCTAATAAAATAATTAATAATCTATATATATAAATTTGAAAGGGGCGTTAAACGGAACAGCAAAACTCAAAAAACCCCCAACGGAAATTAACCAAAATTCCCATGCACATACCTCAACCCACTAGGTACAAACAAACCCAATAAAAATGAAAAACAACACAACAACACACTCACAAAATGACAAAACAACTGAGCATGCGCAATGGCACCCAGCCGCATGTTCCCTGGCGCGCGCACATGGCCTGCTGGCCAACGCTCCCTCCGCGCAAGCCACACCCCCATCCTCCCGCCGCGCCGCTTCCCGCCGTTCAAACCATCTCCTCCTTCATCTTACCCTGCTCACGCCGCCTCCAAGCCCCGCCCCGCCTACTCCAAGCCTCGCTGCGCCGCTTCCCGCCGTCAAAACCATTCCTCCTCCCCCTCCTCTATCTAACCCCGCCCATGCTGCCTCCAAGTCCCGCCCCTTCTAACCCCGCCCACCCCCTTCCCCCGTCAAAACCATTCCTCCTCCTCCTCCTAACCCCGCCCACGCCGCCTCCAAGCCCCGCCCCCTTCTAACCCCGCCCACCCCCTTCCCCCTGTCAAAACCATCTCTCAGCGGGTGCGTGACGTCACCCAGACAGGGCACGGGGCAGTGACGTCAGTGGCGCCAGCGGAAGGAAGGGAGAGAGAGAGAGAGAGAGAGAGAGAGAAAGAGGAGAGCGAGGCCTGCCTCCCTTCAGGGCCTTCCCCAACACAACATCTCCGCCAGGTAGGCCTCAGACCCACCTCTCAAGACAAGTTGGGAAGACAAGGGGAAAGGAAGGAAAGTAAGAGAAAGAAGGAAGAAGAAAAGGAAAGATGGAAGGAAAGATAAGAGAGACAGCAGAAGAGAAAGAAAAAGGGGGAAGGAAGGAAAGAGGTAGAGAAGGAAGAAATGAGAGAAAGAGGGAGGGAAAGAAAAAGGGGAAAGAAGGAAGGAGAAGGAAGGAAGGAGAGAAGGAAAGAAAAAAGGGAATGAAGGAAGGAAAGAGGGAGTGAAGGAAGGGGGAAGATGTAGAGAAAGAGGGAGGGAAGGAAAGAGAGAAGGAAGAAAAGAGAGACAGCAGAAGAGAAAGAAAAAGGGGGAAGGAAGGAAAGAGGTAGAGAAGGAAGAAATGAGAGAAAGAGGGAGGGAAAGAAAAAGGGGAAAGAAGGAAGGAGAGAAGGAAGGAAGGAGAGAAGGAAAGAAAAAAGGGAATGAAGGAAGGAAAGAGGGAGTGAAGGAAGGGGGAGATGTAGAGAAAGAGGGAGGGAAGAGGAAAGAGAGAAGGTACCTCTCTTTCATAATAGACCAGATATCTACCTCTACTATGAAAAGATTCACTATAGGCCACAGCAACGCGTGGCAGGGTACAGCTAGTTATTAATAATAATCTGTTTCCAGCATCAGCATCAGAATCTTTTTATACTACGACTGCTACTAATATCTCTACAGTATGTTTATACTGTAGAATTAATGCAGTTGAATTGCCATGGTCTAATGCTATAGACTCATGGAATCATAGAACACTGCATCCTTTGGCAGAGAAGGCTAAAAGACCCAGTAAAACTAGAATTCCTATGATTCCAAGGCATTGAGCCATGGAGGTTAAAGTGACATCTGCCTGCATTCATTCTACAGTGTAGCCAGATTTCTAACTGGGGCAGCGTACAGGGAGCATACCACCCCTCTGTTGTGTTGGCTCCACTGGCTGCCCGTCTGCTAGTGAGCATAATTCAAAGTGCTGGCTTTAGTCTATAAAGCCCTAAACTGTTCCAGCCCAGCTTACCTGTCCAAACGTATCTCCTTCTATGATCCAAGCATGACTGGTGGGGATGAGAGACAGGGCCTTCTCAGTGGTGGCCCTCGATTGTGGAATTCCCTCCCTAGTGAAATTAGAGCAGCCCCCTCCCTCCTGAAATTCAGGAAGAAAGTAAAAACGTGGTTATGTAACCAATTTTTCAGACAGCAAAGCTTATAGTGCAATACAATAATAAGGAATAGTGAACAGACCAATGGAATGACTTAGGACTTGATTTTGGATGGTGTGATTTTAATAACTGTTTTTAAATTATGTTGTTTATTGGTGGGTTTTAATATAAATGTTATTATATTATTGATGTTTAATTTTTGTATGATTTATGTCTAAATGTTCTTTAATGTTTATGTTTTAATTTGGTTAGGTTAATTTATAGTTATATCTTTTGGTTTTCACATGTATGTACGGCATTGAATTTTGCCTTTATAATGTTGGAAACCGCTTTGAGCTACCTTAGGGGGAGAAAAGCGGTATATAAATGTAGCAAATAAATAAATAAATAAATAGATGCATCTGCAGATATATCCAAGCAGTCTTTGGGAGACAGCTTTGGCCACCTTGAGTCCCTCCAGGTTGAGAAAGGCAGGATACAAATATAGTAAATAGATAGATAAATAAATAAATAAATAAATAAATAAAGAGGAGCAATGCAAGTCCCATAAGCTTCCATCAAAGTGGATAGATCTTTCCGATTGCAAATGTCTCACTAACTTTGCTTTGCCTCCCCTCCCGTGCAGCTCCCCTACTTCATGAATGAACTCACCTTGACCGAACTGGACATGGGGGACTGCATCCCGCACATCATGAGTGCATCCAGCCCCACGGTCGACAGTCAAGGTGAGCAGGACACATTCCCAGTATCTGAAGCCACGGAAGCAATTGAGCATCATCATATTACTTGACTTTCTGGTCCCAGCACGTCATAGTATTGCATTGGAGGTCCTAGCGATTCTTAGAGAGGCGTTCTCTCTACAGATCTGGTCCCACCGTAGTATAGAAATGCCAATTAGAAAATGACTTTTATAACCCAAGAACAACAATCATGTTATTAGGTGTGAACTTTTCCTCTCTATGCTGCATTGCAGGGCTTTGGGTAGATATGGAAGTGACCTACATGGGATCCCTGCAGATGACCCTGGAGACAAAGATGAACCTGTACAAACTGGGCAAAGATTCCTCTGGAGAGGAGAGCGGGAGGGCCGACCGTGGCAGCGAAGGGTGAGCAAGGCCTTCTATGGCTGCATCTACATTGGAGAGTTAACACAGTTTGGCACCATTTTAGTTGCAAGTCCCTGAGAAGTATCAGTCTAACAAAGAAAGGGATAGAGGAGGGAATAGAGTGATAGGCAGATGGAGGGCCAATAGAAGAAGGGCGTTTTCCCTGGCAAATTACTCATTTACCGATTTAAGTCCTCAATGAGGAAAACAAGCTTGTGCAGGATGTGGTTGAATTCCAACACCATGGCATCCTGAGAGTTGTAATTTTATCAGGTCCTTAGCCAGTGCTTCTCCCAATAACAACTCCCCAAATCCCATTGTTTGTATTCCATCCAAAATCTTTGGCACAGCTCCAAGTGTCTGCCCATCCGTGCCAGCTCAGTTACAGTCTTGGGAGCATCCACTCGCCATAAATCTGTCATTTAATAGCCTTGGCCTTGCAAAAACCACGATTTGAATGTGCTTCTCAGGGGAAAAGATTAGACAATGGCCGTTAATGGGGGCAAAGGGCCCAGTCGGGGCCTGAAGAACCCAAGGTGTCGGGTTAAACTTCAGCCAGAAAGGAATGGCTGGAAGGAGAAGGAATGTGCTGAGCTGTGTTTCTACCAGGCTGTTCTTGTGGTGGAATTATGGTTCTAGGAAAGTTATTGGTGCCTGGGGAGAAAAATACATTGTTCCAGGCTAATCATCATCATCATCATCATCATCATCATCATCATCAGCAGCAGCAGCAGCAGCAGCAGCAGCAGCATCATAGTCCCCTCAGGGAGATAGGGCAGGTTATAAATAAAGTATGTTTTTCGTGTTGTTGTTGTTGTTGTTGTTGTTGTTGTTGTTGTTGTTGTTATAGTGATACCTGGAACAACGCCAGACATTGAAGCAGAAGCAAAAGCTGCCAGGGCCAAATAATAATAATGATGATGATGATGATGCCAGGCATCTAATAAGAAGGAGAAGGAGGATGAGAAGGAGAAGAAGCCTGAAACAATGCCAGGCATCATATAATAATAAGAAGGAGGAGGAGGAGAGGAAGAGGAGGAGGAGGAGGAATAAGAAGAAGAAGAAGAAGCAGCAGCAGCAGCAGCAGAACCAGAAGAAGAAGCAGCAGACTGGAACAATAATAATAAAAGCAGCAGCAGAACCAGGCATCTAATAATAATAATAATTATTATTGTTATTATTCCAGGCATAGAAGAAGAAGAATCCTGAAACAATGCGAGGCACCAAATAATTATTGTTATTTATTTATATTATTTATTATTATTATTATTCCCGGCTTCTAATAAGGAGGAGGAGGAGGGAAGAAGTAGCAGCCTGGAACAATGTCAGGAATTGACATTAATAATGATGATGATGCCAGACATCTAATAATAAAGCAAGCAGAGGAGGAGGAGAAGCCTGGTCCAGTGCCAGGGATCTAATAATGATGATGATGATGGCAGGCATCTAATTATAAGAAGGAGAAGAAGAGGGAAGAGAAGAAGGAGAAGCCTGGACCAATGCCAGGCAAAGAAGAGGAAGAAGAAGAAGAAGAAGAAGAAGAAGAAGAAGAAGAGAGGAGGAGGAGGAGGAGAGGAGGAGGAGGAGGAGGAGGAGGAGGAGGAGATGGTAGAATAAGTCTGGAACAATGCCAGACATCTGATGATGCTGATGCCAGGTATCTAATAATAAAGTGGAGGAGGAGGAGAAGAAAAAGCCTGGACCAATGCCAAGCATCTAATAATAATAATAATAATAAATAATAATAATAATAATAATAATAATATACTGCTATAGAATCCTGGGGTTTGCAATTTGGTGAGGCAGAGTAGGCTAAAGTCCAGGGCTATTTGTCCATTGGCTTGAGAGGTTTCCTTTTCCGGACAGAGCAATTGCCTACTTGCAGAAGGGAAATCCTCCTTGATCCTAGATGTGGGTCATGGTCTTAATCCCAGGAAGCTTCCGCAAATACATGCTGCTGCCCGAGGTCAGGGCTCTGTCTTTAGGCCTCAGGCCACTCATTTCTCTCTCCTTGCTGCTTCCTTGCAGAGTCAGGCCCCGCTTGGTCTTGCTGGCCGACAGTGAGGCCGAATCCTCCAGCGCTGGTTCTTCCGAGGAAGAAGACGCCCCTCCTTCAGTGGAGACTTCTTTGGGGGGCCCAGGAGAAAGGGGGGCCCCTCCCGGGATGGAGAGGTAGGCTTGGGATAATACGGGACATTATTATTGCAATGAGTTCCCATTGGGCAGCATCTTCCCAAAAGGGACCTTGACCAAAATCCTATATCTGTGCCCTTCCCATAAGTGCCAGGAGAGAACAGAAGGGATTTATTTGTATTTAAAACAAACAAATAAAATAAGAACACAATTAAAATACCCATAACAAAAAATGACTCTGAAGATAACAAAAGGTAAGTTTAGAATTCACACTTTAAAATGGACTGCTGGGCTTTGGGGGCTTATATATGCCCTCTGTCTCAATGTGTACATTGTTGTTGTTGATGCAGCCTAGAATTGCGTTGGCCTTTTTAGCGGTCGCATCATGCTCTTGTTCCCTTCCAGCCACCTTGGCGGCCACAGCACCAGCCGGAAGATCCTGCGCTTCGTGGACAAGATTGCCAAGTCCAAGTACTTCCAGAAGGCCACTGAGAATGAGTTCATCAAGAAGAAGATTGAGGAGGTCTCCAACACGCCGCTGCTGTTGACTGTCGAGGTCCAGGAGCTGACGGGGACCTTGACCGTCAACATCCCGCCACCACCTACGGACCGGGTCTGGTACGGAGTCTGGATGGCCATCTGTTGGGGATGCTTGGATTGTGTCTTCCTGGCAGAATGGGTTGGACTGGATGGCTCTTGGGGGTTCCTTTCAACTCTGCAGTTCTATTATTCCATAACCCTAGTTCTCCATGAACCTGCTCATGTCAATGAGGCTGAATGGCCACCTGTCGGGAGGAGTTGGATGGTGTCCTGTCTGGCAGAAATGAGTTGGACTGGATGGCCCTTGGGGATCCCTTCCAGCTCATGCAAGAATGTATATCCAGGCTTAAAGGAAATAAATAGGATCCTTTTTCTCTTACCTGGTTCCAGGTATAGCTTCCGCATCCCTCCGCAGCTGGACCTGAAAGTCCGCCCCAAATTGGGAGAACGGGAGGTCACTTTCATCCATGTCACCGAATGGATTGAGAAGAAGCTTCAGCATGAATTCCAGGTACCTGCTTGGTCAAAGTGGATCCTGAAATGGGAAAATAATAATAATAGAAATCCAGCATATAGATCTCATTTGCTGTGACATACTGTGTTTTTGTGTCAGTAAAATAATAATAATAACTCTAGACACTTTGGAAGTGTCCGACATGTGATCCAATACAACAGCCAGCAGAGTGATCTTGTCTGCTGTGCACTCATCTTATAATAATAATAATAATAATAATAATAATAATAATAGCAGTTTCTACCCAGAGCACACCATAGAACCGTGGTATTTTAAAAATGGAGAGACAACAACAACAACAACAACAACAACTAGCATTATATGACAGTGTAAACTCTCGTATAATGCAGGTCAAAGCAATTAAACTGCATTATGAAACTGTGTCAATTGGCAGTATAGATGGGGCCCAGGGTTTAATCCTGGGACAATCAGATTCACAAACAGCTTGAAGGCGCACAATAACAACAGGTATGGATCAGGCAATAATAGATATTGCATCAATGATATTACATTTAAGTATTCCTTTTATTTCCTTTCCCAGAAAGTTTTAGTGATGCCAAATATGGACGACCTCATATTACCTCTGATGCACTCTGGATTGGAATCCCAGGCGTTTGCCGATGGATCCCAGAAGGATTCCCATGAAGAAGTGTTGAAGAGCTCTCCAATGGGATCTAAAGCAAGAATTTAATGGGAGACACTGAATTTGGAATCCATCATTTCTTCGGGATGAAGGTGGAATGGGTCAAAGCAAGAGGTTTTCCTGTTTCGCAAGTTGTGCGGAGTTCAGCTGACCCCATCCAGAGGTCAATAGGGAGGCACTAAACACCTTCAACTTCTCTAAAATTGCCCCTCTCTCCCCAGCTTGCAGCAGAAGGCTTCCCATTTCAACGCTCTCCATCAAGAATCATGGGCCTCTATGAAACCCCAGGGAAAGGGAGAGCCAATCCCTTTGAATGGCATTGCAGAAGTGGTCCCTCTAGTGGCGGAAGGTGGCTGACTATCCTAGCATGGGATTGGCCCGCCTTACGCAACTCGTGTTCGCAAATTGCTGAAAGAAATCACACTGTGAATCCAAATCCACCTTGGGGTCCTTCAGACTGAACAGAGAGACATTTTGCAGGGAGAATGGGGCAAAATAGCTCACAAGAGCAAGTGGACATTTCAGGGGAGGCCAAGAATGCTTAAAAAAATATGCCATGGTTTTGATTCGAACTCTCTCTCCATATGTGTGTGTGTGTGTGTATGTATGTATAGAAAGAGAGAATATATGGGATATATCCAGAAATCCTGAGGAGTCCATGAAGGCTTTAAAAATGCTATGGACTTGATCATATAGCTGATATACACACACATATGTGCGTGTGTGTGTAAACAGGATTCGTGGATTGGAAATCCATGAATTCTGATCATAGATATATATGTGTTTGTGTATGTGTGTGTATCCAGAAATCCTGGGGAGTCCATGAATGCTTTAAAAATGCCACACACACATATATGATACATGTGTGTGTGTATGATCAGAATTCATATATATATGAATTCATATATATATGAATATATATATACACACACATATATATATATATACTGGGGAGTCCATGAATGGTTTAAAAATACCACAATCTTGATCACATATATGATACATGTGTGTGTGTGTGATCAGAATTCATATATATATGTATTTGATGATGAAACTATTTTGATGATGATGATATATATGTAGATCAGGGGAATCCATGATTTCTGATTCCCTTCTCTTTATATATACATGTATGTATGTAAATACATGTGTGTAGATATATATATAGATATATATATGATCAGATAAATCCATAAATGCTTTAAAGAAAATGCCACAATCTTGATTCAAATACCCTATCCTATATATGGATGGAGAGAGTATTTGAATACACACACATACACACACACACCCCCTCAGGATTTAAAAATGCAATTAAAAATTGCAAGCATAAGGTACGAATTCTGCCATTGAAAGTGAAAGAACCCAACTGCAAAGGATAGAGAGAGTAATACGAGTCATAACTGCTATCAGTCCCTTCTGCCTGCCTTTCACCTTCCCACTCGCCTGCCTCCCATTCAAACCTAAGGAGAGGAGAGGGGAAATAACCCATAATATACCAATGCAATCAAAGATGGGACGGGATGGGATGGCACCCAGACAATAGCATGACTTTGGGTAACTCCATGGCGCTGTTCGACCTTCCATGTAATAAGTAATAATAATGTCAAAAAAAAAGTAAACAAAGCAATAGCTGATGATACGGTGATGGACTGGCCCCGGCTGAACAAAGGGCTTTCTTTGCAAACCTTGGCTAAATTGGGGTTGAAGTTGGAGCAGTTGGAAAGAATAAAAGGTTTGCATCAATATTTTGCATGTCTTGGCTTCTGTGATCCCCTCTTTTCTGTGATCCCCACATGGTTGTGGCACCATGGTGTGCCGGTTGTTAGCCGCCCCGAGTCCCTCTGCGGAGGTCGAGATAGGACAGGATACAAATGTCCGAAATAAATATTCTATATCCAGGCATGGGTAAACTTGGCCCCTCCAGGTGTTTTGGACTACAACTCCCACAATTCCTAACAGCCTACTGGTCCAAAACACCTGGAGGGCCTGGGTTTGCCCATAGCTGATCTATATAATAAAAGTGAATATATGTTCCTATCTATCTTTGTTTGTATTGACCCAGCATTATGGGATTTGTAGTTCACCTGCATTCAGAGATCACTGTGACTCCCACTGATGGTGGATCAGGACCAAATCTGGCACACAGACCCATCACAAGCAACTTTGAATACTGGAGAGTTTGGAAGGAATTCACATTGGATGCTGGGAGTTGTAGTTCACTGACATCCAGAGAGTCTCTCTCTCTCTCATCTATCTATCTATCTATCTATCTATCTATCTTATTCTATCTATGTAGTCAGTCTGTCTGTCTGTCTCTCTCATCTACCTACCTATCTATCTATCTATCTATCTACCTATCTATCTATGTCTATCTATCTCTCTCGCATCTCTCTCTCATCTATCTGCCTATCTATCTAGTCTCTTTCTTTCTCTCTCAGCTATCTGTCTATCAAGTCTCTCTCTCTCTCATCTATCTATCAAGTCTATTTCATCTATCTGTCTATCTAGTCTCTCTCATCTGTCAAGTCTATCTCTCTCATCTATCTGTCTGTCTGCCTATCTATCGAGTCTCTCTCATCTATCTGTCTGTCTATCTATCTATCTAGTCTGTCTATCTCTCTCAGCTATCTGCCTATCTAGTCTCTCTTTCTCTCAGCTATCTGTCTATCAAGTCTGTCTCTCTTTCATCTATCTATCAAGTCTATCTCATCTGTCTGCCTGTCTGTCTATCTATCTATCTATCTATCTATCTATCTATCGAGTCTATCTATCTCTCATCTATCTATCTGTCTGTCTATCTATCTAGTCTGTCTATCTCTCTATCTCATCTATCTGCCTATCTATCTAGTCTCTCTCTCAGCTATCTATCAAGTCAGTCTCTCTCTCATCTATCAAGTCTATCTCTCTCATTTATCTGTCTATCTATCTAGTCTCTCTCTTATCTATCTATCTATCAAGTCTATCTCATCTATCTTGCTATCTGAGTCTATCTCTCATCTATATATCTGTCTATCTAGTCTGTCTATCTCTCTATCTCATCTATCTGCCTATCTATCTATCTATCTATCTATCTCAGCTGTCTATCAAGTCTCTCTCTCTCTCTCTCATCTATCTATCAAGTCTGTTTATCTTTCTCATCCATCTATCTATCTATCTATCTAGTCTCTCATCTATCCGTCAAGTCTGTCTATCTCTCATCTGTCTCTTTCTCTCAGCTAGTCTCTCATCTATCAAGTCTGTCTTTCTCTCATCTATCTATCTATCTATCTATCTATCTATCTATCTATCTATCTATCTATCTATCTAGTCTCTCATCTATCTATCAAGTCTGTCTCTCTCTTATGTGTCTGTCTACCTATCTTTCTATCTAGTCTCTCTCATCTGTCTATCTATCTATCTAGTCTATCTCTCTCATCAATTTGCCTATCTAGTCTGTCTCTCAGGTATGTATCTATCAAGTCTCTCATCTATCTATCTAGTCTGTCTCTCTCTCATCTGTATATCAATCTAGTCTACCTAACTATCTCTCTCTCCCTCTCTTGCATCTATCTATCTATATCTATCTAGTCTCTCTCTCTCTCTCTCTCTCATCCATCCATTTCAACTCCTCTGCCTACATCTATGTTCTTCCCATCCCTTTCACGACGACACTCCCTTTTCACGACGACACTCCCTTTCACGACGACACTCCCTTTTGCGACAGCGCGTCCTAGCGCTTTGCGGCGCGTACGCACAGAGGGAGGGCGGACCTCCCCAAGATGGCGTCGCCCTTCAGCGGAGTCCTGCAGCTGACCGACTTGGACGACTTCATCGGACCCTCGCAGGTGAAGGGCGAGTGAACGGGGGGAGTGGGCGACCGTGGCCCCTAAAAGGGGCCCTCCTTGTCCTCTGCCAGAGCTCCTGGAAGCCTTGGCCGCCATTCGAGCTCAATATTTCTGCCAAGCCTCCCATACAGCCCTGCGAGGTAGGACAATTTGGGGGACAGGCGCCTTGAATGGGCTTCCCTCGGTCCAGAGAAGGAGATACTGGGGAAATCGGTATGATTTTAAGGGAAGTTGAGTATATTGTATATTCTATCCTAAAAGGCTCCCATGAGAGGCTGAGACAGTGTGACCTTGCTGCTGGTTCCTTGCCCATCATTTGTTTTAATGTGATTTTAACTGACTACTTTTAATAGCTTTTTGGTTTTATAGTTATAACTATAATTCTCTCTCTATATGTTTCATTTTATATTATAATTCAATATATGTGTATGTTTTCTATCTATGTAATAAAATACAACATGTTGTTGTTGTTGTTCATTCGTTCAGTCGTCTCCGACTCTTCGTGACCTCATGGACCAGCCCACGCCAGAGCTCCCTGTCGGCCGTCACCACCCCCAGCTCCTTCAAGGTCAGTCCAGTCACTTCAAGGATGCCATCCATCCATCTTGCCCTTGGTCGGACCCTCTTCCTTTTGCCTTCCACTTTCCCCAGCATAATTGTCTTCTCTAGGCTTTCCTGTCTCCTCATGATGTGGCCAAAGTACTTCAACTTTGTCTCTAGTATCTTCCCTCCAGTGAGCAGTCGGGCTTTATTTCCTGGAGGATGGACTGGTTGGATCTTCTCGCAGTCCAAGGCACTCTCAGCACTTTCCTCCAGCACCACAGCTCAAAAGCATCGATCTTCCTTCGCTCAGCCTTCCCTAAGGTCCAGCTCTCACATCCATAGGTTACTACAGGGAATACCATGGCTTTGACTAGGCGGATCTTTGTTGCCAGTCTGATGTCTCTACTCTTTACTATTTTATCGAGATTGGACATTGCTCTCCTCCCAAGAAGTAAGCGTCTTCTGATTTCCTGGCCACAGTCTGTATCTGCAGTAATCTTTGCACCTAGAAATACAAAGTCTGTCATGGCCTCCACGTTTTCTCCCTCTATTTTCCAGTTGTCAATCATTCTTGTTGCCATAATCTTGGTTTTTTTGACGTTTAGCTGCAACCCGGCTTTTGCGCTTTCTTCTTTCACCTTGATTAGAAGTACAGAAAATACAACATACATCTATATATATAATTGTATAACTCTCTGTCTCCAGCAAAGGATCACCGCCTTGTCGGGGCGCTGGAGCTTGAGCACCTCAATGATGTCATGAGCGAAACCGTGAAGGGCCACCCAAGACGGGACGGTTGTGGCAGAGAGGTCAGACCAAGCGTGATCCCTGGGGAAGGCAATGGCAAACCACTCCAGTATCTTTGCCAAGAAAACTAAATGGACCAGTACAACCAGAGATATGTCGGTATGCCATTGGAAGATGGGACTCCCAGGTCGGAAGATGGCCAAAATGCTACTGGGGAGGAGCAGAGGATAAGTTCAACTAGCCCCAGATGTGATGACGCAGCTAGCTCAAAGCCGAAAGGAAGGCTAGCGGCCGACGGTACTGGAGGTGAACGACGAATCCGATGCTCTAAAGATCAACACACCATAGGAACCTGGAATGTAAGATCTATGCGCCAGGGCAAATTGGATGTTGTTATTGGCGAGATGTCAAGACTAAAGATAGACATTCTGGGGGTCAGCGAACTGAAATGGACTGGAATGGGCCACTTCACATCAGATGACCACCAGATCTACTACTGCGGACAAGAGGAACATCGAAGAAATTAATAAGAATTAATAAGAAATTCGCTAAAGCGGTGCTTGGATACAACCCAAAAAATGACAGAATGATCTCAATTCGAGTGCAAGGAAAGCCTTGCAACATCACAGTGATCCAAATATACGCCCCAACCACAGCTGCTGAAGAAGCAGAAGTAGATCAGTTCTATGAGGATCTGCAGGACCTACTGGATAATACACCAAAAAGAGACATTATTTTCATTACAGGAGACTGGAATGCCAAGGTGGGAAGTCAAATGACAACTGGGATCACAGGCAAGCATGGTCTGGGAGAACAAAATGAAGCGGGACGCAGGCTGATAGAATTTTGCCAGGAAAACTCGCTGTGTATAACGAATACTCTCTTCCAACAACCTAAAAGACGGCTTTACACATGGACCTCACCAGCCGGTCAACACCGAAATCAGATTGACTACATCCTTTGCAGCCAAAGGTGGCGGACATCCATCCAGTCGGTGAAAACAAGACCTGGGGCTGACTGTAGCTCAGATCACGAACTTCTTATTGCCCAATTTAGAATAAAACTAAAGAGATCAGGGAAAATACACAGACCAGTTAGATATGATCTCACTAACATTGCTAGCGAATATACAGTGGAAGTGAAGAACAGATTTGAAGGACTAGATTTAGTAAACAGAGTCCCAGAAGAACTATGGACAGAAGCCGAGACATTGTTCAGGAGGCGGCAACAAAGTACGTCCCAAAGAAAAAGAAAACCAAGAAGGCAAAATGGTTGTCTGCTGAGACACTGGAAGTAGCCCAAGAAAGGAGGAAAGCAAAAGGAAACAGGGATAAGGGGAGATATGCCCAGTTAAATGCGCAATTCCAGAGGTTAGCCAGAAGAGATAAGGAACTATTTTTAAATAAGCAATGCATGGAAGTGGAAGAAGACAACAGAATAGGAAGGACAAGAGACCTCTTCCAGAAAATTAGAAACAGTGGAGGTAAATTGCAGGCAAAAATTGGTATGATAAGAAACAAAGATGGCAGGGACCTAACAGAAGCTGAAGAGATCAAGAGAAGGTGGCGAGACTATACAGAAGATCTGTATAGGAAGGATAATAATATTGAGGATAGTTTTGACGGTTGTGGTGAGTGAATTAGAACCAGACATCCTGAGGAGTGAGGTTGAATGGGCATAAAAGTATTCCTAACAACAAGGCAGCAGGAGATGACGGGATCCCAGCCGAACTGTTTAAAATCTTGAAAGATGATGCTGTCAAGGTGATGCATGCCATATGCCAGCAAATATGGAAAACACAAGAATGGCCATCAGACTGGAAAAAATCAACTTATATCCCCATACCAAAAAAGGGAAATGCGAAAGACTGCTCAAACTTCCGTACAGTGGCCCTTCTTTCTCATGCCAGTAAGGTAATGCTCAAGATCCTGCAAGGAAGACTCCAGCAATACATGGAGCGAGAGTTGCCAGATGTTCAAGCTGGGTTTAGAAAAGGCAGAGGAACGAGAGACCAAATTGCCAATATCCGCTGGATAATGGAGAAAGGCAGGGAGTTTCAGAAAAACATCTACTTCTGCTTCATTGACTATTCTAAAGCCTTTGACTGTGTGGATCATAATAAATTGTGGCAAGTTCTTGGTGGGATGGGCATCCCAAGCCACCTTGTCTCTCTCCTGAGGAACCTGTACAAGGACCAAGTCGCAACAGTAAGAACTGACCACGGAACAACAGACTGGTTCAAGATTGGGAAAGGCGTACGGCAAGGCTGCATACTCTCACCCAACCTTTTTAACTTGTATGCAGAACACATCATGCGATGTGCGGGGCTTGGTGAATGCAAAGCTGGGGTAAAATTGCTGGAAGAAAATTAACTACCTTAGATATGCAGATGACACCACTTTGATGGCCGAAAGTGAGGTGGAACTGAGGAGCTTTCTAATCAAAGTGAAAGAAGAAAGTGCAAAAGCTGGGTTGCAGTTAAACATAAAAAAACCAAGATTATGGCAACAAGAATGATTGACAACTGGAAAATAGAGGGAGAAACCGTGGAGGTCGTGACAGACTTTGTATTTCTAGGTGCAAAGATTACTGCAGATGCAGACTGTGGCCAGGAAATCAGAAGACGCTTACTTCTTGGGAGGAGAGCAATGTCCAGTCTCGATAAAATAGTAAAGAGCAGAGACATCAGACTGGCAACAAAGATCCGCCTAGTCAAAGGCATGGTATTCCCTGTAGTAACCTACGGATGTGAGAGCTGGACCTTAAGGAAGGCTGAGCAAAGGAAGATTGATGCTTTTGGATTATTGTGGAGGAAAGTTCTGAGAGTGCCTTGGACTGCGAGAAGATCCAACCAGTCCATCCTCCAGGAAATAAAGCCCGACTGCTCATTGGAGGGAAGGATACTAGAGACAAAGTTGAAGTACTTTGGCCACATCATGAGGAGACAGGAAAGCCTAGAGAAGACAATTATGCTGGGGAAAGTGGAAGGCAAAAGGAAGAGGGCCGACCAAGGGCAAGATGGATGGATGGCATCCTTGAAGTGACTGGACTGACCTTGAGGGAGCTGGGGATGGTAACGGCCGACAGGGAGCTCTGGCGTGGGCTGGTCCATGAGGTCACGAAGAGTCGGAGACGACTGAACGAATGAACAACATAACTCTCTGTATATACATATATAATAAAACACACACACACATATCTATCTATCTATCTATCTATCTATCTATCTATCTATCTATATATAGAGAGAGAGAGAGAATAAAACCTGCAACATACAAGCGGTGGCGCAATGGGTTAAACCCAGCAGGACTGAAGACTGACAGGTCGGATGTTCAAATCTGGGGAGAGTGCAGATGAGCTCCCTCTATCAGCTCCAGCTCCCCATGCAGGGACATGAGAGAAGCCTCCCACAAGGATGGTAAAACATCAAAACATTCGGGCATCCCCTGGGCAACATCCTTGCAGACGGACAATTATCTCACACCAGAAGTGACTTGCAGTTTCACAAGTTGCTCCTGACATGGAAAAAACAACAACTATATATACAATTCTATAATTCTCTCTCTTTATATATATGATAAAACACACACACACACATATAGAGAGAGAATAAAACATGCAACATGGGGACGAGGGACAGGGCCTTCTCTGTGGTAGCCCCCCGACTCTGGAACTCTCTCCCCAAGGACATCAGACAAGCCCCAACGTTGGCAGTCTTTAGGAAGAGCCTGAAGACCTGGCTGTTCCAGTGTGCCTTTCCAGAATAGGAAACTCCTAGCATCATGTCCCAAATGCACTTTGTTAGAGATTTAGGATTGTCTGTACATTGCACCTACCGCCAAAAACCTCTACATTTCACCTGTCATGTGCAACACTTTTTAAATTGTCCATTACATTTGGCCCGGCCTTAGGTTTTAAATGCGTCATGGTGTCATTGTTTTTAGTGTTTTATTGTTTTGCTTGATGTTTTATTATTTGCTTTATTAGTTTTATTGTTGTATTTGTATGCTGTTGTTTTGTTGGTGGCCTTGGCCTTTGTAAGCCGCATCGAGTCCTTCGGGAGATGTTAGCGGGGTATAAATAAAGTTAATAAATAAATAAATAAATATAATTGCATAAAACATGTCAAGAGAGAGAAAGAGAGAGAATATAACATGCAACACACACACACACACACATAATTGCATAATTTTATATATATTTAATAAAACATATATATAGAGAGAGAGAGAATAAAACATGCAACATACAAACATATATATTTGTATAATTTATATATATTTAATAAAACACACACACATATATAGAGAGAGAATAAAACATGCAACATACAACTATATACACAATTCTATAATTCTCTATATATACATATATAATAAAACATATATATAAAGAGAATAAAACATGCAACATACAGCCATATATATAATTCTATCATTCTCTCTCTCTATATATATAATAGAACACACACACACACGTATAGAGAATATAGCATGCAACATAGAAATATATATTTAATTCTATAATTATATATACATATATAGTAAAACATATATATAGAGAATAAAACATATATATAAATAGAGAGAAATAATAAAGCACACACTATACAACTATATATAACTATATATAATTCTATAATTCTTTATACACACATAGAATAAAACAAATATATAGAGAGAATAAAATATAAAACATACAACTATATATATAATTCTACAATTCTCTATATAGGTATATATCTTTTAATATGTGTGTGTGTGTGTGTGTGTGTGTGTGTGTGTGTGTGTATATATATATATAATAAAACATATATACATATAGAGCATACAACAATTTTTAACAGAAAAAACAGCAGTGTCTATACATTTTAATATTTATATTTTACAGGTTTTAAATTGTGTTGTTACGGATGTGAGCCGCTTTGGGTCTTGATACAGAGAGAAAAATGGATTAGATAAATAATAATAATGCATGTTTCCTCAACCTCAGTGTGTATGCAATCATAATAATGTAATCATATAAATTATTGTTGCTGTAGTAAGCTTACTCAGCCTGTGTTTGTATATAGTAAAGGTAAAGGTTTTCAATGTATTGTCGAAGGCTTTTACAACAACGCAGTAAAGGTTTTCCCCTGACGTTAAATGAAGTCTTCTCTGACTCTGGGGATTGGTGCTTATCTCCATTTCTAAGCTGAAGAGCCAGCGTTGTCCGTAGACACCTCCAAGGTCATGTGGCCAGCAAACTTAATGGAGCGCTGTTACCTTCCATATTACCATATATGTGTCATGTATATATGTCATGATAAGTCAACCAAACCTCACATGCAGGTTCTTTCTGCTTAATTCTTGGGCTTGTATTTTGCCTTGTTGGCCTCATTCATTGCTGTCCTGCCTTGGTCTCTTTCAGGACTGCATCAAACCCATCAAAGTAGACAAGAAGCCTGGAAAAGCAATCGCTAAGATCCGCATCGAGGACGATGGAACCTACGTCCAAGTGGATCCGGTAATCTGCCCCCCCCCCTTTCCCCAGTGTCATTGTGTTGCATACTGGACAGTGTTGTATTGATTATCAATAACCAGCTCCCTTTCAGATGACAAGCTATGGAGCCATAAAAATAATAACAACACATCTCCATAAATAAAATGCGGTGTTACAAGGTCTCAGTGTGCTCTGTTTCTTCCTCTCAGGACGGCCGTTCGCGCAAACTGGAGAAGGCCAAGATTACGCTCAATGACTGCTTGGCTTGTAGTGGATGCGTCACTTCGGCCGAAAGCGTCTTGGTTGCACAGCAAAGCCACGAAGAGCTCCTCCGGGTCTTGGACGCCAATAAGGTCAGCGGCAGATGAGGATAACTATGGATGATGGGAGCAGAAGTCCTGGGTGGGTGGAGGGGACAAAGGGCATGGGGTCAAGCCATGGGTGGGCCTTAACCCTGAGAACAAAGTGGTTGGTAAAATGTTTAGGTTTGAATTGTATTGGCTTTACTGGAAACCGCTTTGAGTCTCTTTTTTAGAAAGAAGAAGCTGGATAATCATAATCATAAATTATAATAAATATAAATAGTTATGATAATGGTAACGATTAGAAAAAGAATTGTAATAATAATAAATGGGAATTATTATTATTAATATTTATTTTAATTTTTTAAATAATTATTTTACAGACATTAGATCCTGCTTCCCGGAAGCTGGTGGTAGTTTCTGTCTCGCCTCAATCCAGAGCTTCTTTGGCGGCAAGGTTTCAATTGACTCCTTTGGACACAGCCAAGAAACTGACTGCCTTCTTCAAAAGATTAGGTAAATGAGGTTTTTCCCTTCAATATGGTAGCAAATTCAATAGCCCCAGCTCAGGGCTTGCAAATTCAGGGCAGTTGTGGCTTCTCTTTAATGGAGTCTCTGTACTGGAAATACCGTCTTTTTTTTTCTCCTTTCTTCCATTTTGTTATTGTTGACTTTTTCTCCTAAAAGAGGTGTCAAAAGTACTGCAACTTTAGTTATCTTTGCATCTAGAGGGAGAGTTCAGGCTTCATTTATAAACAACAACAACAAAATAATAATAACAATATAATGTAATATTAATTAATTAATTAATTAAACTATTATTATTATTATAAATAATGGAGCCCCTGGTGGCGCAGTGGGTTAAACCCCTGTGCAGGCAGGACTGAAGACAGACAGGTTGCAGGTTTGAATCCCGGGAGAGGCGGATGAGCTCCCTCTATCAGCTCCAGCTCCTCATGCAGGAACATGAGAGAAGCCTCCCACAAGGATGATAAAAACATCAAATCATCCAGGCGTCCCCTGGGCAATGTCCTTGTAGATGGCCAATTCTCTCACAACAGTAGCGACTTGCAGTTTCTCAAGTCGCTCCTGACACGACAAAAAATATATAAATAATAAAATAGAATAAGAATAACAACAACAATAATAATAATATGGTTTCCGGCATTTGGAAACAATAAACATTGACAAAAGTCAACTGCAAAAGGCCACCTTACTTGGATCTGCACGTATCATTGGAAAATTCATCACACTGTCCTAGAAGTGTTCGACTTGTGATTTTGTGATATGAAATCCAGAATATATCTCTCGTTTGCTGTGACATACTGTGTTTTTGTGTCAGTAAAATAATAATAATAATAATAATAATAATAATAATAGTAGTATTTATTACCCACCTCTCTTTTTTGGCTCAAGGCGAGACACAGCATTTGTACTAGGAGCCATTTATTTTATCATTTTTAGCCATTTACGATATGCAATAGAATGCCTCACCATGTTACTTGCAGTACACACACGTTGTAGGATTTATGCAGTTTGATGCACCTTTAGCTGCTGTAGTTCAAAGCTAGGGAATCTTGGGAGTTGTAGTTTGTTTTGACAAAGCAAGTCTTTCGCCTTCTCTTGGGTAGACAATCCTTGGGTGGATAAGTCCCAGGATTCCATAGCATGGCAGTTATGTTGAAACTCAAACCACATCCTGCCTAAGCTTGTAGTCCTCATTAAGGACTTAGATATGTAGATGAGTTAGTTGGCAAGGAAAAGTCCTTCTTTCATTGACCTTTCTGTCTGCCTGTCACTCTATTCTTCCATTACATACTTCCCAGGAAGATGCCTCCTTTTCTGAGCACATGCCAAGCCCCCAAGTTTTCCATTTCATTTTTCTCCTGTGAGCATGGAGAGAGGCAAGATGTCTGCTGTGAGTCAGTTATTTAGATAGCGAGGCCCTGTGTTAACTTTCCTGTCTAGATATGTAACTCTTTGACTAAAGTCTTTTATATCTGTTCAAAGCTTGGCTCTGCTCCTGAATTACTGAAGCTTCTGATCTGCTGCTGTGGTTGCTACTTTACCACTTTTAAATGTTTATTCCTTTTAGGAAATTCCCCCCCCCCCCACCCCAACAAGTTAAAGGGCTGTCAAACTGTGTTTATTCTGTAGTTTATTTATTTATCGTGTCATCAGCAACCATACCATTGTATTACAATTCTAACAGAGCAAAACAAACACACAGATTAAAAAGAAAAAGAAAAAAAAACACACAGATTTTGCAAATTTGGTAGTTGGTTAAATGTCCTTTGACCAGTATCTGGCCACTTGGAGTGCCTCTGGGGTTGCCGCAAGAAGGTCCTCCATCGTGCATGTGGCAGGGCTCAGGGTGCATTGCAGCAGGTGGTCAGTGGTTTGTTCTTCTCCGCACTCGAATGCCGAGGATTCCACCCTGTAGCCCCATTTCTTAAGATTGGCTCTGCATCTCGTGGTGCCAGAGCGCAGTCTGTTCAGCGCCTTCCAAGTCGCCCAGTCTTCTGTGTGCCCAGGGGGGAGTCTCTCATCTGGTATCACCCATGGATTGAGGTGCTGGGTTTGAGCCTGCCACTTTTGGACTCTCGCTTGCTGGGGGGTTCCAGCGAGTGTCTCTGTAGATCTAAGAAAACTATGTCTTGATTTAAGTCGTTGACGTGCTGGCTGATACCCAAACAGGTGATGAGCTGGAGATGTCTCTGCCTTGGTCCTTTCACTATTGGCCTTCTGGAGGACGACTGTATTCTGTAGTGTAGATATACCCTAAGTTTCTCTACACAGACATCTCTTCCTGATTTTTCCCAGGTGTTGATTTTGTCTTCGATACAACATTCTCCCGGAACTTCAGCCTGATAGAAAGCCAGCGGGAGTTTGTCCAGCGCTTCCGGAGGCGGTCGGAAGACAAGGGGGCTTTGCCCATGCTAGCCGCTGCTTGCCCCGGTGAGGAAGAGAGAGGGAGCAGAGGCCCTTAAGATGCCCCCGTCCCCTTCTGGAGGACGACTGTCCCACAACGGTGTTCGAATCATAAAATCCTAGATTGGGAAGGGACCCCCAAAGGTCATTCAGTCAAACTCCCTTTTGCAATACAGAAAGGCATCATCAAAGCCCTCCCAACAGAAGGCCACCCAGTCTCTGAATCATAGAATCCTAGAGTTGGGAGAGACCTACAAGGGCCATCCAGTCCAAACCCCTTTCTGCCAAGCAGGAAGACACCATCCAATCCCTCCCAACAGATGGCCATGCATCCTCATAGGCATTCGAACGTTAATGGAAAAACAGGGCTATAGAATTATAGAATCTTAAAAATTGGGACCACAAAGACCATCCAGTCCAAGGGCATTCTGCCATAAAGGAAGACACCAATCCCTCCCAACAGATGGCCGTCTAACCTTATTAACACCAGAAATATGGAAAAGTACATTATCAAATCCTAGAGATGGAAACGGCCCTAAGGGCCATCCAGTCCAATCGGCTTCAGCCAGGCAGGAGAACACAATCCAAACCCTCCCGACAGATGGCCACCCAGCCTCTGAATCATAGAATGCTAGACTTAGAAGGGAAACCCAAGGGTCATCCAATCCAACCCCCTTTTCTGACTGCACTATCTTTGAGATAAAGATTTTACCTTTCCTTTTGGGTCCTTTCCAGGCTGGATCTGCTATGCTGAAAAGACCCACGGGAGCTTTATCCTCCCCTACATCAGTACTGCCAAGTCACCACAGCAGGTCATGGGGTCCCTGGTGAAGAGCCACTTCGCCGAGCAGCAGGTTTGTCTCTTCGGCACTCAGCAGATTATTATTATTACTATTATTATTTATAGTATTTGTGTTCTTTGCCAAACAGCAGGTGTATCTATTCTGCACTCAGCAAATTATTATTATTATTATTATTATTATTATTATTATTATTATTTATAAAATTTGTATCCTTTGCCTAGGAGCAGGCCCATCACTTCCACACTCAGCAGATTATTATTATTATTATTATTATTATTATTATAGTATTTATTTTTGTATCCTTTGCCAAGCAGCAGGTCTATTTCTTCCACATTCAGCAGATTATTATTATTATTATTATTATTATTATTAGTAGTAGTAGTAGTAGTAGTATTTATATCTGTATTCTTTGCCAAGCAGCAGGTCTATCTCTTCCACACTCAGCAGATTCTGTTGTTGTTGTTGTTGTTGTTGTTAGTAGTAGTATCCTTTGCCAAGCAGCAGGTCTGTTTCTTCTGCACCCAGCAATTTCATGAGAGAGGTGGTGGGCCAAAATATTTGGGCTGACAATTATTGTTATCATTATTATTATTTATAATATTTCTATGCTGCTTCCTCTCTCTCTCTCTCTCAAGGAGATTCAAGACTAACAATCAAAGCTGTGCAATGTCTCAAAAGATTAGAGTAGAAATAAGTTTGGGACTTATGAAAGATGGATTATTAAAACCAATAACAATCATATTAAAAGCCTATTGGACTATTATTATTATTATTAACTTTATTTGTACCCTGCTAGCATCTCCTGAAGGACTCGATGCGGCTTACAAAGGCCAAGGCCTCAAAAACATAGCATAACAAATACACAACTTAAAGCAAATCAAAACAATTAAAGCAATATCAAAAACAACAAAAACAATAAAACAATACACCAAAACACAATAAAACTGGGGCCGGGCCAAATGTAATGGGTACAGATTCCTGCCACATCAGCACTTTTAATCTTGTACCCATTACTCTGGCCCGGCCCAGTTTTTATAGTGTCTTGATGTATTGTTTATTGTTTGTTGTTTATACTGCTTAACTGATTTTAATTTGCTTTAGGCGTTGTTTTGTTGTATTGTGTTTTGAGGCCTTGGCCTATGTAAGCCGCATCGAGTCCTTCGGGAGATGCTAGCGGGGTACAAATAAAATAATAATAATAATAATAATAATAATAATAATAATGTGCTGATGTGACAGGTGGTATGTCGGATTTTATGGTAAGTGCAGTGTGCAAGCAATCTTAAAGTCTAATAAAGTGCTTCTGGGACAGGTTGTTGGAGTTTTCCTATTCTGGAAAGGCACATCGGAACAGCCAGGTCTTCAAGTTCTTCCTAAAGACTACAACAAACATGACGAGTAGTCTTTAGAGGTCACGAACGTCTAGCCTTGCACTGGTGCAATGGCTTTCAGTTTACTTTTGGCTTTGTTCAGGGACTCTCAAATCCCTAAAGGGCTTAAAGAGAGGATAACTAAAACATTGCCTCCATGGTGCGGCTGGGAACAGTAAGGGGGAATGGATCGATGTTGGACCGATTCATGTTCTCGTCTTTCTTTTTTGCCATAGCATGTAGCGCCCAGCCAGATCTACCACGTGGCAGTGATGCCTTGCTACGATAAGAAGCTGGAAGCCTCCCGGCCAGATTTCTTCCTCCAAGAGCATCAAACCCGGGAGGTGGATTGTGTCATTACGACTGGTGGGTCGCCATCTCGCTGCCTTGACCCTTTCAGAGGCATTGAGTGATTGCAAAGTCAACCTGTGCCTCTTCTTTCCTTGCCTTCTAGGAGAAGTCCTAAAGCTCTTGGAGCAGGAAGGGGGATCCCTTTCCGAAGTGGAACCTGCCCCCTTGGATGCCATGTAAGATCCTTTGTCCTTGCTAGATTTGTATATCTCCACTCCATTTTGTTTGTTTGTTTGTTTATTTGTTGATAGCAATTACCAGTTTGTGTTGATAACAAGCACCAGTCTATTTATGTGAACTGGAAGCAACTGGGAGGTCATTTTTGGTTTTGATTTGCAGAGAGGGGAGCTCTTTTCTGCTAAAACCAAACATGCCTCCTGTGCCTTATTGGAGTAAATAATCCTGCTTTTTACAGATGTGAGTAAATTTATTTATTTAGAGTAAATAATGCCACATCTAAGAGGTGCAATTAAATTAATTTGTATTTATTTTAGGAAATAAATTTATTTAGATGTATTTGAGGAAATAAATAATCCCACATTTGAGAAGTGCCAGTAAATTTATTTATTTACTAGTTTAGGTACATGGCAATGTCCAGGTTAGCTAATATATAATGATAAATATTAGAAACAATCATTGTTTGGGTTTTGGATATTATGAATGGTCATGTTATGAATGGTCCCATTAGAAAGAAATTCACATGGCTTTCTGGATGTAGGGTACACATGGGTCTTTGGGTGTGGGTGAACTATAACTCCCAACATCCAAGGTCAGTTCCCTCCAAGCCCCTCCAACAGTAAAAAGTCAGCCATGTTGGGTATGTACGCCAGGTTTGGTCCAGATCCATTGTTGGTGGGGGTGGGTTCACAGCACTCTTTGGGTGTGGGTGAACTACAACTCCTATCCATATATTATTATTATTATTATTATTATTATTAGTAGTAGTAGTAGTAGTAGTAGTAGTAGTAGTAGTAGATTTGTTCTGCCCATGTGACTTCCAACTTGCCCTTCTTTCCGTCGTCTTATAGTTTTAGCGATCTCTCCGAGGATCAGCTCCTCAAGGGCCACTCTGGGGGTGGCTCCGGGGGCTACTTGGAGCACATCTACAAACATGCAGCAAAGGAACTCTTTGGGATCCAAGTAGAAGAGATTCAGTACAAAACCCTAAAGTGAGTGGAATCCGATCCCTTCCCCTCGCTGTGGACAGCTCCTGGTTCCGGTGCCTAGCACTTGGGCCTCCCTTCCCCACTTTCTCCATGGCTTTCCTTCCCAGAAACAAGGATTTCCAAGAAGTGGCCCTGGAGAAGGACGGGGAGACCCTCTTGCTCTTCGCCCTGGCCTACGGATTCCGGAACATCCAGAACGTGGTGCAGAAACTCAAGCGGGGGAAGTCGCCCTACCACTACATTGAGGTGATGGCCTGTCCGTCAGGTAAGGGGTCGAATCGAAAGCCCCCAAATGCCACCCAAGATCTGGGAGTCTGGTCCTCAAAAGTGGGAGAGAATCTGCGTTAGTCGAATCCTAGACTTGGAAGGGGAACCCAAGGGCCATTCAGTCCAACCCTGTTCTGAAAGATACCATCCAGTCTCACCTGGCAGATGGCCATCCAGCCTCATAGACATTGGAAGGTTCATGGAGAAATAGGGCTAGGGAGTCCTAGAGAGGGGAGAGGTCCCTAAAGGCCATCCAGTCCAACCCCTGTCATGCACGAAGACACAGTCAAAACACTCCTAGCAGATTGCCATCCTCTGCTGAAAAACCTTTAGAGAAGGAAGCAGCTTCCATTGGACTTCAAGGAAGAATATACCATGTTTGAACAGCTCTGATTGTTAGGAAGGCCTTTCTCATGTTTAGGTGGAATCTCTTTTCCTGATGTTTGAATCCATGGCTCCATTGAGTCCCAGTCTCTGGAGCAGCAGAAAGCAAGCTTTCCCGGTCCTCAATAGGACATCCATTCCAATATTTAAACATGGCTCTAATGTCCCCTTGCCTGAGCCTTCTCTTCTCCAAACTCAACATCCCCAGCTCACGAAGCTGCTGCTCAGAGGGATTTGTGGTTTCCAGACCTTTGACCTTTTGGATTGCCCTTCTCTGGACACCCTCCATCTTATCCATTTCCTTAGATTGCTTTACCCAGAAGTGGATACATAGTTATCCCAGGTGAGGCCTGACTAAAGCAGAAAAGAGTGGAGCTATAACTTTCCTTGGTCTAGACACTACACTCCTGTTGATGCAGCCTAGAATCGCATTGGGCTTTTTGGCTGCCACATCACACTGTTGGCTCATGTCTAGCTTGTAGTCTACTAAAGAGTCAGAGATCCCTTTAATATATACATGTTTGTAACTTGGGGACTGCCTGTACGTGTGTGTGTAAACATCCGACTTACAAATGACTCCTAGTTAAGAACGGGAATGAAACAGCAGAAAGTAAGAGGAATCTTCCCCTCAGAAGGGAAATCCACTCCTGGAAGAGTTATTATCATGGGGAAAAGGGGTCTCCCCGAAGTTTTATCCCCAGTCCTTAAAAAGGTAAAGGTTGTCCCCTGACATTAAGTCCAGTCATGTCTGACTCTGGGGTGTGGTGCTCATCTCCATTTCTAAGCCGAAGAGCCGGCATTGTCCGTAGACACCTCCAATATAATGTGGCTGGCATGACTGCATGGGGCGCCGTTACCTTCCTGCCGGAGCGGTACCTATTGATCTACTCACATTTGCATGTTTTTGAACTGCTAGGTTGGCAGAAGCTGGGCCTGACAGCGAAAGCTCACGCCACTCCCCGGAATCGAACCTGCGACCTTTCGGTCAACAAGCTCAGCTGCTCAGCGCTTTAACCCACTGCAGCACCGGGGGCTCCAGTCCTTAGAATCTTAAGAGTTGGAAGAGACCTTGTAGGCCATCCAGTCCAATCTCCTGCCAAGAAGCAGGAAAATCATATTCAAAGCACCCGTGACAGTTGGCCACCCAGCCTCTTTTTAAAAGCCTCCAAAGAAAGAGACTCCACTACACTCTGGGGCAGAGAGTTCAGATGCTGAACAGCTCTCACAATTAGGAAGTTCTTCCTCATGTTAATTTCCTGTACTTTGAAGCCATTGTTCTGTGTCCAGGGCAGCAGAAAACAAGCTTGCTCCCTCCTCCCTCTGATTTCCTCTCACATATTTATACATGGCCATCATGTCTCCTCTTAGCCTTCTCTTCTTCAGGCTAAACATATCCACTCTTTAAGCCACTCCTTATAGGGCCTGTTCTTCTGTCCTTTGATCCTTTCAGTCCTCCTCCTCTTGACACATTCCAGCTTAGAGTCACATCTCCCTTCAATTGTGATGCCCAGAATTGAGCACAGTGTGATTCCAGGTGTGGTCTGACCAAGGCCGAATAGAGGGGTAGCATGTCTTCCCTGGATTTAGACACTAGACTCCAATTGATGCAGGCCCGAATCCCATTGGCTTTTTTAGCTGCCGCATCGCATTGCTGGCTCATGTTCACTTCCTGTTGACAAGGACTCCCAAGATCTTTTTCACATATACTGTTGTTGAGCCAGGCATCCACACCCCACACCCCCATTTCTGTAACAAGCCAAAATGTTCAAAATCCAATTCTCACAGGGACAGAAAGTGAGGTGGAATCTTCTGAACAGCAGCACAAATGGCAAAACAAATGCCGCATGGGTGTTAGCCCTTTCCTATGCTATCCAAAGCACATGGCCCCCTTGTGGCGCAGAGGGTTAAACCACTGAGCTTCTGAAGCTGACCGAAAGGTCAGCGGTTCAAATCTGGGGAGTGGGGTGAGCTCCCGCTGTTAGCCCAGCTCCTGCTAACCTAGCAGTTTGAAAATATGCAAATGTGAGTGAATCAATAGACACCGCTCCAGCGGGAAGGTAACGCACTCCATGCAGTCATGCTGGCCACATGACATTGACTATGGACAATGCCGGCTCTAGCTTAGAAATGGAGATGAGCACCACCCCCAGAGTCGGACACGACTAGACTTAATATCAAGGGAAACTTTTACACACACACACAGTCCTTGTTACACTTCAAAATGTACCTATTCTGATTTACATACAAATTCAACTTAAGAATAAACCTACAGAACCTCTTATGTTCATAAATAAGCCATAGCCCATATTTCTTTCTAAATTTAGATACTAGACTCCTATTGATGCAGCCTAGAAACACACTGGCTTTTTAAACTTCCGCATCACACCAGTGAAGTACCCCAACAGATGGCCATCCATCCTCTCTTTAACAGTCTCCAAAGAAGGCGCTAAAAATATCTTGGCTCATGTTCCAATTGTGGCCCACTAAGATGCCTTCCTTTTCCAGGGTGTTTGAACGGCGGGGGCCAAATCAAAGCGGAAGGGGAAACCAGCAAGGACCTGCTCCAGGAGGTGGAGAGTGTGTATGAATCTGTCCCGCCGGAGGACCCAGAGACAAACAGAACTGTTGCGGACCTCTACGAGCAGTGGCTGGGCGGCCCATCTTTGGAGAGGATCCGAGAGGCCCTCCACACGCAATACCATGCAGTGGAGAGGGCCAACACAGGCTTTGGTATCAAGTGGTGAAAGCGAGAAGGGACAGACCTAAGAATCGCATGGAGGTTGCAAGGGTCCTCTCCACTTCTGGGACGGAGCTGGCAAGACAGGAGACTACCTTTTCCTTAAATCCCTATGGGATTGGATTAGGATAAATGTCATGATGTCTGAGTCTAAGATCAGCAGCGTTCATTGTCCCAGTAAGTAGCTTCACTCTCTCAGTAATATCACATAATGTGCCTCTGCTCAAAAAGCACAGATTTAGGAGATACTTCCAACGGCAGCATCACGGGATACAAGCAGTTCCTCTCCTTTGTATCGGAAAAGACATTGCATCGTAGTAATCTTCTATATCTAAAAATGTAATAATAAAGTTTATGTATCTATGTTTGTGGGTAATTTCCTATTGGCCCTCACTTTTAGAGTGCACTGTGAGTCCCACCGACAACAGATCTAGATGCACACAGACCTCGCATGACCAACAGGAAATACTAGGGAGGATTGATTCTGGACGATGGGCATTATTGTCCACTGTATTCAGAGAGCACTGTGAGTCCCACTGACAATGGATCTGGATCAAACTTGGCACATAGACCCAACTTGACCAACTTAAGCTACTGGCAAGATTTGAGGGGGATTGATTTGACATGATGTGAGTTGTAGTCCACATATATCCTTATACATTTTCTTAATGGGTCCACTCATAAAATCCAGAAATGATGACTTTTTCAAAGATATAGCATTACAAATTATCAGATACCTAACCTAGGCACCACTGAGTACCTACACTCGTATTTACTCCTTTGGAATCCTGGAATTTGCAGTTTTGGAAGGGCCCTTTATAAAAACCCTCCAGAGCCTCCTTCAACTGCAAAGCCCAGAATTCCGAAGAAGGCGGCTATTAGATTTAAAGTGGAATCACAGCACTGTATATTCACAACATCATAGATCAAGCATGGGCAAAATTGGGCCCTCCAGTTGTTTTGGACATCAACTCCCACAATTCCTAAGAGCCTCAGGCTCCTTCCTTTTCCCCCTCAGCCACTTAAGGGACCTCTGTAAACAAGGTGTGGAAAGAGTGGAAGAAAGTGGAGAACGATTGCAAGGACTATTTCTTGCAACAGAAAGGATAGGAACTGTCTAGAAATAAATACAACATTTAGAGGAAAATAAGGAAGGAATAATAAACAAATTCACCAGATGGAATGCAAGAAGATTAACCTCAAAGAAGGAAGTCTAGATAAGACATTGAAGTAGTGTCTTCATTTTTATTATGTAGTTCGATTATTTTATGTTTGCTTGGTTTAAGTGTGTCCTTTTTGATGATGGATGCATTTTGTTGAAACTCAATAAAACATTGGGAAAAAAGGTGTAGTGTGACAATCTCCTGAATGCAGAACCGAAGTTCTAAGTTACTGTGGTGATAGCAAACTGAGCGACAAAGGGGCATTTCCTTTTATTTCTGGGATAATATCTAACTTTTTGGTGAGGGATGCCCTCATTCCCCCCCCATAGTTCTCCCCTGACATTGGATGATGGACGTCGAAGTCCAGTCACTACCTGTTGGTTTTGGGAATGAGTCACAGCAACGACGCAAAGGGTTTTCCAGAGACAGCGGAGGCACCCGTCTGTGGAGACATTCTCAAAAAAGGCCGTGGCAGGGATCCTTCCTCGTGATAAGCTTGTTTTGAGGCAAGATGCCATGGTGATAACAAGACCTGTACTGCTTTGTCATAAGGACTCCTTGCTGGTAAACAGGAGCATCACTGACTCAGAGCTATTAAACCTGATTGAGCAACTGCATTGTTCAGTCATAGCTGATTGTGTCCACATTGTTGAAGGAGTGCCACTTAAACTACCGTGGCCCAATGACGGGAACCTGGGAGTTGTAGTTTGACAAAGCTGAAGGGATCCCATTGCCATGAGGGGCCAAATTGCATTCCTTCCACAGTGTGGCTGCACCCATAGTTCCATATATTTGCTCAGTGTGGAAAGAGTGGGAGAAAGTGGGGAACGATTGCAAGGAATATGTCTTACAACAGGAAGCATAGAAAATGTCTTCCAATAAATGTAATATTTAGAGGAAATAAGGGAATAATAATAGTCTCTGTGAACAAAAATAAACATTAAGCATTTAAGTTTTCTTTTCACCAAATGGGTACTGCTAAGCCGTGGGTCTGTGAGTCCGGCACATTGCGCAGCCAAAACGTCGAATGAGACACAGGCAAAAACTGAGAGAGGTCTTTAATCTCAATGGCCAAAGAGGACTTCAAAGTACTGGTAGAAATAATCAGAAAATACAGTTCCATTTTGTTGTCAAAGGCTTTCATGGCCAGAATCACTGGTTTGCTGTGAGTTTTTCAGGCTATATGGTCATGTTCCAGGCAGCATTCTCTCCTGCATCTGTGGCTAGTGGCATCTTCGGAGTTTCTGTTGGCAGTGAAGCAAGTGAATGTGTTTGTGTGTGTGTATGTATGTATGTATGTATGTATGTATGTATGTATGTATGTGGAATAATGTCCAGGGTGGGAGAAAGAACCCTTGTCTGTTTGAAGCAAGTGTGGATGTTGCAATTAGCAAGCTTGAATAGCATGAGTAGCCATGAAGCTGCAAAGTCAATCAGAGAGGGTAGCTGCATGGAGGTAGCCTGGCCTCTGTTGTCTGAAGGCATCTTTTGTTTGGGGGATGTTAACTGGCACTTGATTGTTGGTTGTCTGGAGTTCCCTTGTTTCTGAGTGGTGTTCCTTATTTACTATCTTGATTCTAGTGGTTTTTTTAAAATACTGGTAACCAATTAAATAGTCTTATCAATGGAAAAGATTTTGGTTCGTAAATACAGGAGATACAGGACAAGTCTACATAGGAACTACCAAATGCAGCATCCAAACACAAATCTAGGAACATGAAAGGCACTGCAGACTAATTCAGCCAGAGAAGTCAGCCATAGCAGAGCACTTGATGAACCAACCTGGACAAATAATATTATTTGAGAACCCAGAAATGCTGCACCACTCTAACAACCACCATGTCAGACTAAACAGAGAAGCCATTGAAATCCACAAGCCTGTGGACAATTTCAACAGAAAGGAGGAATCCATGAAAATAGCCAGATTTTGGCTACCAGTATGTTAAAAAAAAATCTAAATTTAGAACAGTAAACAACATTCAGGAAACGGGAAATCCAGACACGAAACAATCGGGGACATCTAACACCTGCTCAAAAAGGATTCCACCAGGCAGGAAGCAGCCAGGCTTTGAAGCTGCAAGGCCATTCAATGCTAATCAATCTGACCAAACTGAAACATGCACGCTTGCTTCAAACAGACAAAGACTTATTTTTCCCAACCTGGACATTATTACACAGGTATATAAACCTCACTTGCTTGGTTTCCAACAGACCTCAGAATCTCCGAGGATACCTGCCATAGATGTGGGTGAAATGTCAGGAGAGAATGCTTCTGGAACATGGCCATACAGCTTGGAAAACTCAGCAACCCAATATTTCCAGCCATGAAAGCCTTCGACAATGCAATACAGGAGATATCCTATCAATGGGGATGGGGTATACATGTCCAGAGACTAGGTAGCCTTCCAAAGTAATTTCAACTAATTCAATCATAGGAAGAGGAGCTGGACTGCTTGGCTTTATCATAGTTGTGAAATGTTGGAAGGCAGTCCGCTGACATTGCAAGACTGTGGGAAAATATTGAATGTAAATTCATTTAAAGTTTCTTATTTTAGGTGGTCCATTTTCTCGATAACATACCCCTCCCCATTTAAGACTGTGCGGAATTGCTTCTCTCTACCCATTTCTGCCTAGAATGAGATGACAAAAGTTTGACGCAGCATTTGCATCCACATTGGATCGCAAGGTGTCACCACAGTTTCAGAGTGCATCACATGTTATAATGCATGCCAATGACTCGCAAAGGAGAGGCTGTTTCCTTGTAAAAGGCAAAGGGCTGGAGCACTGCCGATCTGTGTCCACAAAGGAAAACAATGAGCAGGATCACACAGCTCCTGCTGCTATTTGTGCAATTGTTTGCATTGTAATCTTTTAGGATGACGTTCCAGGACGGACGGCTTGTGAGGTCTAATGGATGCATCCCAACCATCCCATGCATAATTCATCTGTCCACTGCAGCTGTTTAGTAATATTTCAATTAAGGGCCTAAATATGCTGAAGGCCCCAAATCCAGCCTCATTTGGAAAGCCAAGCAGGGTCAGCCCTGGTTAGTCTTTGGGTGGGAGACCGCCAATGAATCCTGAGGCCCTATTTGGGAGGAAGGCACTGGCAAAACCATCTCTGAGGATTCCTGACCTAATGTGCTTCTCATGTGAAGTCTGGCCAAAGTGGAATATAGTGGGACTATGACTTCCCTTATCTAGATATTACTCTCCTATGGATGCAGGCTGGAATCGCATTGGCTATTTTAGCTGCCGCTTCACATTCTTGGCTCATGTTCATCTTGGGGTCTGCTAAGATTCCTAGGTGCCTTTCACATGTTTTCAAATCTATTTTCGTGCATTTCATTTCTGACTTTTAAAAAGGAAGCAATCGCTTCCTTCTTTTCCAGCCTTAGGTGAAGTACATCATGGGGTGTTCAATCCCCTTTGGGACCGGCTATTAAAGGCCATCTTCTTTCAAAGTCTGAATAACCCCTTCTGGAAAGGAGAAAGAGCCATTTCCGCCAACATCAAGGTGAGGCTAGGTGCTCAACCTGTTGGATGAGAGCTTCTGGCAGGAAATGTATGGGATCAAGGTGTGAATTGCAACACACCTTAGCTGCCGAGTCACGCATTTCACTCCAAGTTCCTTGAGTTTATCTGAAATGTGGCTTGTGGCCGTGCATTATTACATGTTGCATTATGAGATGTTCCGCTTTGCCCGCTTCCCTGATTCTAGTCTTGTTATTATTTGCTTTTTAAACTACTCCATTGCAATGTCCCCAGGTGTGTACCCTTTGGCAGCAGTCGCTTGTGCCTTTTCAGGAACCAAATCTTGGTGCATCACTTGACACCACATTCCAGCCAAAGTTTCCAAATATGTTGTTGTTGTTGCTGCATGCCTTAAATTCATTCCTAAGTTAAGCAGTTTTCTTGGTCAGATTGGTCCAGAGGAGGTTTGCTGCTGTCTTCCTGAGGCTGAGAGTGTGTGACTCACCCAAAAGGGATCCATTGCTAAGCCGGGATTCAAATGCAGGCCTCCCCAGACTCTTAGCTCAAACTTCTTCTTCTTTTTCTCCTTCTTCTTCTCAAGATTTCTTCAGGTGGGTTTTGTCATTGGTTCCTTTTGAGGCTGAGAGAGTGTGACTCACCCAATAGGGTTCCATTGCTTTGCCGGGATTCAAATGCAGTTCTCCTAGACTCATAGCTAAACTATTGT